ATGGCGTCGTGCTTCCTATATTAAATAAAATTGCACGTTAAGGTTTGTCGTAAACATTTGCAGACGGTGGAGTTCAGGGCGGTGGCTCACGCGGCGGTGGTGCGCGTGACGTCGCCGGACCCCGTGTCCGACCTGGTGCTGCACGTGGTGGGGGCGGACGGCAGCCGCGACCTCGGACCCCTCACGCCCGTACCCGACCCCGCCGGGGGGTACGTCTTCGAGCACACCTTGTATCTGGCCGATGTAAGTACAAGCGGCAAATTCATTGCCTATTGTTACATTTTAATAGATATGGAGAATAACGGAAACAAAACTCGCTCAGTGTAGACTGGCTTATTGACGTCAAATACACTTAGCGATCGTTCCTTTCCAAGCATGGTGCATGCGCATACACAACACATTTCAAATTTAATCTCAATTTGCATGGTACACTTAACTCCGGAATAAAAATGTGTCGAAGGAAAAGTTTGTATTTAGTTGTTTGGTGCAGGGCGAGGAGGTGTCGGTGCGGGCGACGTCGGCGACGCTGCTGGTGTCGCCGCGGTCGGGGCAGCGCGTGCGGGGCGCGCCGGGGTGCGGGGCGGCGGCGCTGCAGCTGCAGGCGGCGCGCGGCCTCACGCTGGCCGGCCGCCTGCTGCCGCCAGTCGCGGACGTGCTCATCACGCTGCGCTCCGGTACCCACAGCATCTCGCACCTCTCTCATCGTTATAATACTGCGGTGTCATTGTGTACATGGAATCTTAGTCTTTCAGTGAAGGATTTAAAATGATGTATTTATGTGCGCAGATGAATTGGTCCTGACGCAAGTGACCGGGGAGGACGGCACGTACCGGTTCGGTCCGCTGGAGCGCGGGCGGCGGTATGCTGTGAGCGCGCAAAAGGACTCGTACGTGTTCGGCGAGCGCGACGAGGACGGCAACATCGTAGCCAGCAAGCTCGCAGAGATCCTGGTCGAGCTGCAGGACGAGGCCGACGGCAAGCCGCTGGAGGTGACTCACTCACACATGTGCGATTAATTAATGGAATAATCGAAGTGCGTTTTCCTACAAAAATGTACATTGTCAGGGTGCGCTGGTGTCGGTGAGCGGCGGCGAGTACCGGCGCACTGCGGCGTCGGACGCGGAGGGTCGGCTGCGGTTCGTGTCGCTGGCGCCGGCGCAGTACTACGTGCGGCCGCACCTCAAGGAGTACCGGCTGCGGCCGCCGCACGCCACGCTCACCGTGCCGCCGCACACGGACGACGCGCCGCACGCCGACATGCTGCACACGCTTCGCTTCACGTACGTCGCATTACGTATTTCATACAAGTTGTAGAATAGTCAATGTTTCTGTGGTGTTTTACGTGAGGTACGTGTGCAGGGGAGTGCGAGTGGCGTGGTCGGTGTGGGGCAGCGTGGTGTCGCTGAACGGTGCGGGCGTGGCGGGGGCGGGCGTGCGCGCTCTGCCCGTGCCGCCTTCCGCTGAGACCCCGCCCCCCGCACACTGCGTGCCGCAGGACGCCACCGCCTCGTTGGACGCTACCTTCCGGTACCACTCTACTTACACTTTTAAACTTCCCTTTATGATTAATATTAATAAACTTAATTATGACATTTTTGACAAAAAAAGATGGTAGTTTAATGTATAATGACTTGACTTAAAGTCTTATGTATGTCCCCGTGCGCCGCCAGTTCGCAGTTAATGTATAAGTGGTTAAAATTGAATAGTTTTCTTTCTAACCAGAATTCGTGGTTTGATGCCAAATTGTTTCTACAAACTTGAGCTGAAGGAATCCTCTGCAGAGGAATTGAGCGGCCTGAGGCTCGCTAAGGCGCCGCCAGTCATCGAAGTGAGTTTTTAATATTTGCTTAAGTTGTAGTTTTCTCGTCGCCGCGATGGCTCCGCATGATGAAATTTTATATGACTGCGAGCAGATGAAGGAGCAGGACGTGCAGAACGTGCGTCTGATAGCGATCCAGCGCGTGGCGGTGACGGACGGCGGCGTGGTGGTGCGCGCGCCCGCCGAGTACATCCGCACGCTGCGTC